AAAGAAAGAAAACAGATTCAGAGACACAGGGAACAAACTGGTGTTGACACAGAGGAGAAAGTGAAAGGATGGGTGTAATAGGGGAAGGGGGAAAACAATTAGTGAGAAAGTTTGAAATCTTGATCTGGGTGATGTATACATGTGTATACATGTGTCAAAACTCATCAAGCTGTGCACTAAGATTTGTGCATTTCATTGTATATACCTCAATTTAAAAAGAAAAGATTTTAAAAAGAGGTACAAACTTCCATTTATAAAATGTGTAAGTCCATTTGCTTTCTTACAGCACTAAACTAACTAAACTATGTTTTCTACCTTTATCTTGCATCTACCTACCACTTCAGGATTTTATTAAAAATAATAATAATAAAAGGGAGAAATGTGGGATCCACATATAAATCAAGTATAAAAATCAAACAAATATTCATATTTGACCTGATTGTTTATAGTTCATAATGCGTGATCAAAACCGAAAGTTTCTGTGACGACTGCTCTTGTACTGTTCACCATGTAAGAACTTATTCACTATGTAAGAATTTGTACACCATGTAAGAACTTGTTCACTGTGCTTCAGAAGATCCGAGACTGATGAGAATTAGGCTTGGGGTGGATTAATGATTGTGCATTAAATCCCCTGTACAGAATTTTATTGTTGTTAACTGTTAACAACCATTTGATCAATAAATATGAGAAATGCCCTCTCAAAAAAAAAGTAAATGTCAAGATGTACATTAATAGGAAAATGGTAAATAAAGTATGTTATATAAAAAAAAAATGTGTAAGTCATGGAATTCAATGTACAGCACAGAGAATACAGTCAATAATTTGTATGGTAAGAGATGGAACCAGACTTACTGTGGGGATCCTTTTGTAATGTATAAAAATATCAAATCACTAATAATGTATACCTGAAACTATATCAAGTATACTTCAATTACATAAAAAAGTAAAATTTTGAGGAATCCATTGGTGTGTGGTGAAGACATACATTTAAGAGATCTATCATTTTTTAATATTAATATTAATATGAGTGATGGGAAGGCCCCAATACAAAGAGTATTTTTTCACGAAAAAAAGATAGCATAACAAATGCAGGTCTATTACAAAGAGCAGTGTGGTATAAGGGAAGGAGCATGGATTTTAAATTGGTAAAGAATTTGGTGCTAGATTTGAGTTCTAGTCTTGTGGTATTTCCTTGTCTCTAAAATGGTGATAATAAAACATAACCCAGAGGGTTACTACAAAAAACAAACAAAATGATGCATGTAAAAAGCCATATACGGAGATTAAAGATAGCGGCGTGAGAGGAGAGACAGAGGCTTCCTCCTAAAACTGGATACAATTAGAAAATTTAATTGGCACAACTAATCCTGAGAGAGCAACAGGAAAGAAGACAGCATAAGATTGCATACACCTGGAGAAAAGAGCAGACCTCAGCGAACGGGGTAACGTACCAGAGCTGTGGCTTCGTGGGACCTGAGCCCCTCCCCCACCCCAGCTCACCGGCGGGAGGAAGACAAATGGAGCAGGGAGGGAGCGGAAGGCTTGGGACTGCTGAATACCTACCTCCGGAGTCCTGCGCTGGGAGCACAAACCTATATTTCATGGTGCTTTCATGAGACTCGGATGACTACCGGGTTGGAAAGTTAATACAGGCAGAGTTCCTGGGGATACTGGGATTCCGGCTGCTTGTGGAAAGCAGGGATTCATATCTGGCTGCTCTGGGACAAAAACTTATACCTGTGTGCCTGGCCCACTGGCTCAGGCAGTGAAGACAGGCACAACAGCCAGGAGGCGGGAACAGCTCTTTCCTACCCCCAGGCACCAGTACTGCTCCCCTGTGACCCCCGACATTGCTTCAGGGGATGAGCAGCTCCAGAATAGAGCTTCTGGACACTAGAGGACGCTATATACAAACATGAAACGCCAAAGGAACCTTGTCCAGAGTAAAATTGTTAATACAACTCCAGACAAAGATTTAAATGACATGGACCTCGTGACTCTTCCTAAAAGGGAGTTCAAAATAAAAATAATCAACATCCTAATGGAGTTACGGAAAGACATCCAAGAACTCAGGAATGAATTCAGGTCAGAGATCCAATCATTAAAGAACATGATGGAGGGTATTAAAAGCAGGTTGGATACGGTGGAGGAGACAGTAAATGAAATAGAAACTAGAGAAGAAGAATACAAAGAAGCTGAGGCACAGAGAGAAAAAAGGATCTCTGACAATGAAAGAACATTGAGAGAACTGTGTGACCAATCCAAGTGGAACAATATTCGCATTATAGGGATACCAGAAGAAGAAGAGAGAGAGAAAGGGATAGAAAGTGTCTTTGAGGAGGTAGTTGCTGAAAACTTCCCCAATCTGGGGAAGGAGATAGTCTCTCAGGCCATGGAGATCCACAGATCTCCCAACACAAGGGACCCAAGGAAGACAACACCAAGACACATAGTAATTAAAATGGGAAAGATCAAGGATAAGGACAGACTGTTAAAAGCAGCCAGAGGCAGAAATAAGATCACATACAAAGGAAAGCCCATCAGGCTAACATCAGACTTCTCAGCAGAAACCTTACAGGCCAGAAGGGAGTGGCATGATGTATTAAATGCCATGAAGCAGAAGGGCCTGGAACCAAGATTACTTTATCCAGCAAGATTATCATTTAAATTTGAAGGAGGGATTAAACAATTTCCAGATAAGCAAAAGCTGAGAGAGTTTACCTCCCACAAACCATCTCTGCAGTCTATTTTGGAGGGACTGCTACAGATGGAAGTGTTCCTAGGGTTGGATAGCTGTCACCAGAGGTAGTAAAATCACGGTAGGGAGGGTGGAGCAGCTGATTGTGAGGCAAATGCAAAATTAAATTGACTATCCCCAAAGTCAATCAAGGGATAGACAAAAAGTACAGAATTTGATACCTAATATATAAAGAATGAAGGAGGAAGAAAAAGGAGGAGAAATAGAAAAGAACCTTTAGATTGTGTTTGTAACAGCATACTAAGTGAGTTAAGTTAGACTCTTAGATAGTAAGGAAAGTAACCTGGAACCTTTGGTAACCACGAATCTAAAGCCTGAAATGGCAATAAGTACATACCTATCAATAATCACCCTAAATGTAAATGGACTGAATGCACCAATCAAAAGACATAGAGTCACTGAATGGATAAAAAAACAAGACCCATCTATATGCTGCTTACAAGAGACTCACCTCAAACCCAAAGACATGCACAGACTAAAAGTCAAGGGATGGAAAAAGATATTTCATGCAAACAATAGGGAGAAAAAAGCAGGTGTTGCAGTACTAGTATCAGACAAAATAGACTTCAAAATAAAGAAAGTAACAAGAGATAAAGAAGGACATTACATAATGATAAAGGGCTCAGTCCAACAAGAGGGTGTAACCATTATAAATATATATGCACCCAACACAGGAGCACCAGCATATGTGAAACAAATACTAACAGAACTAAAGGAGGAAATAGACTGCAATTCATTCATTTTACGAGACTTCAACACACCATTCATTCCAAAGGACAGATCTACCAGACAGAAAATAAGTAAGGACATAGAGGCACTGAACAGCACACTAGAACAGATGGACCTAATAGACATCTATAGAACTCTACACCCAAAAGCAACAGATACACATTCTTCTCAAGTGCACGTGGAACATTCTCCAGAATAGACCACATACTAGGCCACAAAAAGAGCCTCAGTAAATTCAAAAAGATTGAAATTCTACCAACCAACTTTTCAGACCACAAAGGTATAAAACTAGAAATAAATTGTACCAAGAAAGCAAAAAGTCTCACAAACACATGGAGGCTTAACAACACGCTTCTAAAAAAGCCATATACACCTGAGTATAATATTATATATTAACTATACTTCAATTTGAAAAAGACATATATATGGACAGTACATAGCATTAAATATTTCTTGCAGTAGATATTAAGTTCCTTAAACTAACCTTACCTTTGTTATGCTTCATACCTAGCACAGTCTCAGACTCACAGAAGACTTTGATAAATGTTTGGTGAGTAAATAAATGACCACTCAAAAAAAAATGACCACCACACACACAAAATTGACTGTTCTGATTACTTGCATAGTTGGCCAATATAAGTTTTATAATATGCAAATGTAGGCTTAAAAATTATTTATGCCAGAACAAAAATAACTAAGTCATGAGAACATAATATATAGCAAGGTAACTGTGTAGTTAATAATACTGGATATATATTTGGAAGTTGTTAGGAGAATATTTCTTAAAAGTTCTCATCAACATGAAAAAAATTATTTTTAACTATGGATGGTGGTGATGGATATATCAACTAGACTTATTGTGGTGATAATTTTTTTAAAGTTTATGTTAAAATATAAAAGAAAAATCAAATATAGCATCTTACTATGCTGATGGACACTGACTGTAATGGGATATATGGTGGGGACTTGATAATAGGGGGAATGTAGTAACCACAATATTACTCATGTGAAATCTGAGCATAAGAGTGTACACCAATGATTAATTTAAATGAATAAATAAATAAGTAAAATACAAATAAACCAAGTGTGTATGTATAAATGTATAAATGTTTACATAAAATATCCATACATATATGTGTATTATTTAACATTTCAAATATATTGTGCAAACAGCAAATATAAGGGAACTATGATTTTTTTCTTAGTGGGGTCTATCATAATCAAAGCATCTACAATTCAGTGAAGTAAAAAACATATTCCTTCTTAGGTTGATTATCTGACTTACAGTGTACACTGTGGTGTGTTGCTAGTACGGCCAAATATTTGTAACACATGAGTACCCTTTAGCAAACCTTCCAGAATTCAGTTTGAATTTTATTTACAGTAGTAAAAATCTTCTATCAAATGTAAAAATCTTATTATCAAATCACTGTGACAATTTTGGAGGAGGGGACATACTGATTTTATAAATAAAAACTCTATGAAGATAATTGAAGGGAAGGTGAATTACCTGGGTTTGTAGAGGCAGTAATACAGGTGTTTTGTTTTAACTTTTTTGGCCTGAATGAATATCCTCATCCAAGGGTTAAAATAGAGAACAGATGTGTAGGCTCTGAATGACCATCTCTCTGGAAAACTAGAATAGAAAATATGAAAGTGTGCACTTAGAAGATAAAAGAACAACATATCTTTGAGAAGGAAAAAAGATTATCAGAGTACTGTTTGCAACTTCAGGAACTTTTCTTCTAAACCTAAGAACAGCAAACAGCAGCACATCTTGCAATACTATATACACACTTAATTAAGCAGGTGTCTAAATGCAAAGGCCACTTTGGTTAGAAATGAACTTTTGTTGGCAACTAACTGATTCGAAGTAGACTGACATCGAAATGGAACATAAACTTTTCGTTCAAACTATTAACCCAGAAGGACAAAACCAAGTGAAATAAACACTTCCTCCCATGCTCAAACATAAAAACAATCTAGGCCCACATGAATAAAATACATTTCCATTGAATTACTGTAAACAAAGAAACACAATAAAAATATTTCATTTGCTTTGAAAACTGTGAACAAGAAACATAGAACTTCATTTTTTAAGTGCAGTCAGTATGCATAGTTAGCTGAGGGGAGGAATCTGATGACATGATAAGTGAAAAAGAGGAGTGAAGAGAAAAAATAAAGGATGGGAAGGCCATAAAACAGAAACAGAAACAATATACACAGTCTATGAAGAAAACCACCTTTGTGAAACTTAACATTATTGGGAAATCACTGTTTTGCTGTTTACTAACAACTCCAGAAATCTCCTATATTAAAATCCATTTATGAATTATAAATCCTCCCCAATTAGACAATCAGGATAAGAAACAAACTCATCATACTTAAGAAGTTAGCATTCATCTACCGGGTCCCAGAAGAGGCTACCATGAAGGGCTACAAGGCCAAAGAGAGAGTAGGGAGCAGTAAACCCATCATGATTTTACACCCTACCTCAGTCCAGAGGGGGACAAAGATAGAAGGGAAATATAAAGTGTGTTTAAGGGAGACTGTGCAACAGGGTCACACATCACTGCTGGTTATTCAGTAGAAAAAGTGCAGAACTACAAGGAATTTACAAAAAGGAAGAAGCAGCCCATAAAAAAAACGACGATTAGAAAGGGAAAAGATGGCAGCGTGAGAGGTGAGACAGAGACCTCCTCCTAAAACCACATATAATATGAAAATATAATTTAATACAACTAATCCTGAAAGAGCAACAGGGAAGAAGGCTGCACCAGACTGCATACACCTGGAGAAAAGAGCAGACCTCACAGAACAGGGTAATGTACCAAAGCTGGCACCCAGGGGGGTCCAAGCCCTTTCCCCATCCCAGCTCACCAGTGGAAGAGAAACAGAGCCGGGAGTGAGTGGAGGCCTGGGACTGCTTAACACCTAACCCTGGAGATCCACTCTGGGAGCATGAAACTACATTGCATGGTGCTCTGATGATTTAGTGCAGTTGGAAAGCTAAGATAGGTGGAATACCTGGAGAGAGGGAGATTCCAGCTGCTAGTAGAAAATAGGGATTCATATCTAGTTGATCTGGGTGGGTAGTCTGAGAGACTTTAAAAGTGAGAGGGCTGCCAAAGGGGCAAAGATTGCACAGAGCTTTCTAATCAGGAGAAAGGACAGGTAGACAGAATTGTCTGGGTGCACTCTGCCCAGCAGGTTGGGAGCTTAAACAATCTTCAGGTGCTCCATCCCTCTGGCTGGCAACACAGCTCCAAGGCCCCCCACCGTGATACACAGCCTGTTGTGTCTTCTTCCCAACTAGCCTGCACCTGGCTCAGGCTCACAAACCGGCAACCCCTGCTCTGGCATCAGGCCAGCCAGAGGGAAGCCCTACCTATGGCAGCTACAAACACAAAGCATAGAGGCTTACACCTGTGTGTTCAGCCCACTGGTTCTGGCAGTGGAGACAGGCATAGCAGCTGGGAAGCAGGAACAGCTCTTTCTTCCACCCAAGCACCAATATCACATCCCCGCAACCCCCGACATTGCTCCAGGGGCCAAGCAGCTCCTGAAAGTAGAGCTTCTGGGCACTAGAGGGCACCACAAACAAATTATGAAATGTCAAAGGAACCTGGGTCAAAGCAAAATTATGAATGCACCTGAGAAAGATTCAAATGAAATCAACCTCATGAATCTTCCTGAAAGGAAGTTCAAAATAAAAATCATTAATGTGCTCATGGTGCTACAGAAAAATATTCAAGAACTCAGAAACGAATTTAGGACAGTGATCCAATTGCTGCAGTACACAATGGAGGATATTAACAGAAGATTAGATATGGTGGAGGAGATGATAAATGAAATAGAAATTAAGAAAGAGGAATACAAAGAAGCTGAGGCACAGAGAGAAAAAAGGATCTCTAAGAATGAAAGAATACTGAGAGAACTGTGTGACTAATCTAAATGGAACAATATTCATATTATAGGGGTACCAGATTAATAAGAGAAAGAAAAACAGATACAAAGTGTCTTTGAGAAAGTAACTGCTGAAAACTTCCCCAATCAGGGGAAGGAGATAGTCTCTCAGGCCATGGAGGTGCACAGATCTCCCAATACAAAGGACCCAAGGAGGACAACACCAAGACATATAATAATTAAAATGGCAAAGATCAAGGATAAGGATAGACTATTAAAAGCAGAAAGAGAGAGAAGATCACATACAAAGGAAAACCCATCAGGTTATCATCAGACTTCTCAGCAGAAACCTTATAGGCCAGAAGGGAGTGGCATGATATATTTAATACAATTAAGCAGAAGGGCCTCAAAACAAGAATACTTTATCTGGCAAGATTATCATTTAAATTAGAAGGAGGGATTAAATAATTTCCCTCCTTCAAATTTAAATTTGCAATATAAAACAAGCAAAAGCTGAGAGAATTTACCTCCCACAAACCATCTCTACAGTGTATTTTGGAGGGACTGCTATAGATGGAAGTATTCCTAAGGTTCCTAAGCTGTCACCAGAGGTAATAAAAAGGGATAGACAAAGTGTAAAGAATATGATACCTAATATATAAAGAATGGAGGAGGAAGAAAAGGAGGGAAAAGAAAAAAGAAGCTTTAGATTGTGCTTGTAATAACATACTAAGTGAGTTAAGTTAGACTCTTAGATAGGAAGTTACCCTTGAACCTTTGGTAACCACAAATCTAAAGCCTGCAGTGGCAATAAGTACATACCTATCAATAATTACCCTAAATGTAAATGGTCTGCATGCACCAACCAAAAGACACAGAGTCACTGAATGGATAAAAAAACAAGACCCAACTATATGCTGCCTATCAGAGACTCATTTCAAACCCAGACATAAACAGACTAAAAGTGAAGAGATGGAAAAACATATTTCATGCAACTAATAGGGAGAAAAAAGCAGTTGTTGCAATACTTGAATCAGACAAAATAGACTTCAAAACAAAGAAAGTAACAAGAAACAAAAAAGGATATTACATAATGATAAAGGGGTCAATACAACAAGAGGATATAACCATTATAAATATCTATGCTCCCAACACAGGAGCACCCACATATGTGAAACAAATACTAACAGAATTAAAAGGGGAAATAGAATGTAATGCATTCATTCTAGGAGACTTCAACACACCAATAACTCCAAAAGACAGATCAACCAGACAGAAAATAAGTAAGGAGACAGAGGCATTGAAAAACACATTAAAAGAGATGGACCTAACCAACATCTACAGAACTTTCCACCCAAAAGCAGGAGGATACACATTCTTTTCAAGAACACACAGAACATTTTCCAGAATAGACCACATACTAGGCCACAAAAAGAGCCTCGAGTAAATTTTAAAAGATTAAAATTGTACCAACCAACTTCTCAGATCACAAGGGTATAAAACTAGAAATAAATTGTACTAAGAAAACAAAAAGGCTCACAAACACATGGAGGCTTAACAATATGCTTCTAAAGAAGCAATGGATCAATGACCAAATGAAAACAGAGATCAAGCAATACACAGAGACAAATGAAAACAAGAGCACAATGCCCAACTTCTGTGGGACACAGCGAAGGCAGTTCTAAGAGGGAAGTATATAGCAATTCAGGAATGTTTAAAGAAGGAAGAACAATCCCAAATGAATAGTAGTCTAAATTCAAAATTATTGAAACTGGAAAAAGAAGAACAAATGAAGCCCAAAGTCAGCAGAAGGAGGGACATAATAAAGATCATAGAAGAAATAAATGAAATTGAGAAGAATAAAATAGAAAAAATTAACAAAACCAAGAGCTGGTTCTTTGAGAAAATAAACAAAATAGATAAAAACTCTAGCCATACTAATTAAGAAAAAAAGAGAATCTACACACATAAACAGAATTATAAATGAGAAAGGAAAATCACAACAGAAACCATAGAAATACAAAGAATTATTAGAGAATACTATGAAAATCTATATGTTAACAAACTGGATAACCTAGAAGAAATGGACAACTTTCTAGGAAAATACAGCCTTTCAAGACTGACCAAAAGAAACAGAAAATCTAAGCAGACCAATACCAGCAATGAAATTGAATTGGTAGTCAAAAAACTACCCAGGAACAAAACTCCCAGACCAGATGGATTCACCACTGAATTTTATCAGACATTTAGAGAAGACATAATACCCATTCTCCTTAAAGTTTTCCAAAAAACAGAAGAGGAGGGAATACTCCCAAACTCATTCTATGAAGCCAGCATCACTCTAATACCAAAACCAGGCAAAGACACCACAAAAAAACAAAACTACAGACCAATATCCCTGATGAACATAGATGCAAAAATACTCAACAAAATATCAGCAAACCAAATTCAAAAATACATCAAGAGGATCATACACCATGACCAAGTGGGATTCATCCCAGGGATGCAAGGATGGTACAACATTCGAAAATCCATCAACATCATCCACCACATCAACAAAAAGAAGGACAAAAACCACATGATCATTTCCATAGATGCTGAAAAAGCATTCTACAAAATTCAACATCCATTCATGATTAAAACTCTCAACATAATGGGTACAGAAGGCAAGTACCTCAACAAAATAAAGGCCATATATAACAAACCCACAGCCAACATTATACTTAACAA